TACTGTTTTAGTTTATGAATTTAAGTAGTTCAGAGGACCGTGACAAGGCGAAGGGGCGATCGTAGACATCCTTGGTTTTACGAATGATTGGATCTTGGAAGACTCTGATTTTAAATAATGTTTTGGACACAATGATTTGTAAATACTTTTATTAGTAAATGGGTTGTTATGAAAAGTTTTAATTTGTTGAAAATTTTGGGATATTACAAGTTGGTATCAAAGACTTGGTTTGAGTGAATTGGAGGAACACTCGTGTGAATCCAGTCTCAAACTAAGGAAATGAAAAGGGTTTTAAAAATGATTTTCAAAGTAAGGGTTTTAAAAATAATTTTCAAAGTTGCTTTCAAAAATAACCAAACGAGGATGCGATGTGTACGATCAACCGAATCGAGTAAGTAGACCCCAAATTACCACACTGTTACTTGATATTGTGATATGTTAGAACATCATGCTAGTGATAGGCTAGGGATCTTCAGGAATTGCATGATAGAATTGCCTGATTATATGATGCCTGATAGCCTAGGGTCTTCCTTATATGAAATTGACATCATTATTGTAGTTGCTTAGTGTATGCATCATAGTTGTACATAACTATAATTCTATAGCCTTAGAATGTTTGGTTTAGCCTGATTTCCTGTTCTTGTTTGATGAAAGGCTTAGGGTAGAATCAAGTATTCGACTGTCTATAGGATCTAGTTTTATGTATGATTAGCATACACGAGTGCTTCAGGGTTGGTGGAAGTCTGATGAGTGTGTGCAGTTCATGTTCGGATAGCGTGTGGGATGGTTAGCCACTCTTGAGAGAGTAAGGGCAGGACAAAGGCGTATCCGAGATGCTGGGAGATAGTGATCGAGAATTTCGTGTGAGGATCTTCCTGATTTTATTGTGTTTTAGTGCCAGTCGTCTCTGCTGCTCGAATGCTGCTTGATTTGTGCTTTGTAGGGCTCACATTGATGTGATCTAACTATCAAATGAATACATTAAGTTACATGCTATGGAGGTTAATTAATCTTAGAGTGAAGGATTTGGCCCTATTGCGCAACTCTCGTTTGAGTCTAACCAGTGTAGGGTTGGGTCCTTTAGTCGAAGGACTATTTAAGTTTTGTTGCATGTAATTGTATTCATAAAGTGGTTGGTTGATATTGATTGGAGCCCTTCAGCAGCTAATGGCAGGGGGTGGGGAAATCCTAGGAGAACCTAGGAAGTATTATAGTACAGTTGTTTCGCTGTTGAGCAGGTATCAGGTGTATTTTATGAGTAGGTCTTGGATCGGGTGTATTTTATGAGTAGGTATTAGAGGACATGAGATGATTCTTAAGGAAAGTAGGGATAGGTGTGGAAGGTAGTATTAGGCCCGTACTACTGGAAACATAGGATCCATACTCGAATCGAGGAGAGTTCCGGGGATTTTAAGGGCTGGTAGGGAGAGATAGCATGGCTTGATACCATGATTCGTGGCAGTAGTTCCATATATATCGATCTTGTCGCATGGTTGCTCAGACATGAGGATTGGTCTGGCAGTTGTTTTGGGCCCAGTGGCAATATCGGTTAGGTTGAGTGGTGCAGATCTAGATGAGTTTGTTGGTTTTGAGGTCTCGAGGGTTCTGCTCGAGGCCATGCATTCTAGTCTCAGGAATCAAGAATGGAACGATTGTTATGACCGACTTGAGGATTATAGTTGGAAGTGAGTGGTTGATTGATGGATTGGAATGTCGCTATCTATAGCGAGAATTATGACCTTTCAGTTTTCCGAGTTCGGAGAAGCAGTGAACAGGCTTGTAACTTTCAGAGTTGGGATGTAAACCCAACATAGGGCCAGTTGGTTGCGGTGTTTGGCGACAGTATGCTAACGTGGGAATACGAAATAGGATTGATGTGGTATGGATGCTTAGTGATGCGATCAAGGGTCTGTTTTCCTTGAATATAGGAAAGTCAGGTACCGAATCGACGATTAGGATTGCAGTCAAGGAGCGTATGTTTTGGATCGTAAGTCAGTGTTTGCATATACATTTTCATGGAATCCTTAAAGTTATAGTGGTTATAATTGGGTATTTCAGAGGTCTTCAGCTGAAATCCAAAATTCTCTTGGGATTTGATTGGTCCTTATCTGGAAGATCATCCTGAGTGTGTTATGTATTTGAAGAGTCAAGGAGTGTTTGTGCCTAGTTGAGCCGGTTTGAGACATGGTTGGTTTCAACACCAGTAGGTGGTGGTTCGGACCCTAAGTGGGGGACAACTGGTATTCTGCTTGGAGGATCATCGATCTGTTCGAGTGCATGATGTTGGAAGAATGGATCATAAGGATCTGCGGTGCAGGTATGTGGAATCTCGGTTCAGGATTTGGTCAAGGCAGGGGTATATAGTAAGTGGCGATCAGATGTATGTGTCCAGAAGGTACATGGGTTGTATCTCAGCAGAAAGTAGTTGGTCAAGGAGCTCCTGTAATCATTGTTTCCATTCGGAATGCCAATGTAAAAATGAGGAGCCACTGGGATCACTCAGGTTGAGTATCAGTGGTTGAGGGATTTTTTTAGTTTGTTGTTTGGATTGCTATTTTTAGTTTTGGTTGAGCAGATGTCGATCGGTAAATCATTTCCAGAGACGGGTATGTTCAATTCTGCGTAGGTTTTGGTTCTCTGGATTAAGTGTTAACGTGTTCTCGACCATTGGTAACTTCACGCATCATCAAAGCGGAGATTCTTCGGAAGTATTGGATTGTATCAGTTGAAGTTCAATGGATTCTTTGGCATATCGCCAGGTTCAGCTCGAGTTTGGACGATGCTCTTGCTTATTGGGAGTCCAGAATTTTGGGTTAGTAATTGGATGAACCTGACTAGAGCCTTAACAACATTTTTGGATGACCAAAAGGTTTTAGTGAGTTAGTTGTGTATTGGTAGGATCTGTTCAGTCTCAATCAAGTATGGGATCTTGTTTCGACCATTTATTCTATCCACGGCTCGTGTGCGACCATGATTTCATAAGGTTTGCATTGGTAGCAACATGTTCTGTGAAAGGAATTGTGCGTGGTAAGATTATGGCTTTGTGGTGCACGGTTAGTGTTGAGGGGGACGTTGTTTTGGTCCTTGAAAGGCGATGGAATAAGGTGAGTATCTTTAGGCCTCTGGAGTGTTGGGAGAATGATGTAATGTCGACAAGATTAGTGTGATAGCGGGAGCATTCCATACATGGGCTGAGGGTCGGGTTGGGCATTCCAGACTCATGTTGTGGGCTTGGGGGCAATCCGGACCTATGCTGAGGACCTTGTAGGGGTATTCCAGTCATAGACTGTGGGCTTAGTGATTATGATTGTTTATTCCTTGTGCTTGTGGTAATTTTGGTGTTGGCGCATTGATGGAAGCCGGGAGACTCACAAATCAGTTGGTTTGGATAAAGGGAACAGTTAAGGGTTGTTGGGAGTATCAGTCACGTGTTTGAAAGTCTCTATGGAATGTATGCATTATAAATCCCTTTTGTTTGCAAGCTGTTATTAGGGGTTTGATTATCAAGGTTGGAAATCAGTTATGAAGTCTTGAATCATAAATTTCTTTGTGAATGTCTCGAGTGATTGCCAGGTGGGGGTATGCCTGAGTTGATATGGGTTGGATGCAATGTGAAAATTATTGGATTGACCATCTTTGCTCGTAGGAGCAATGGTTGGTAATGGCATGACAGGGAGTCAAGGGTTTATTTCAGGTTTTGGTACATCTTATGGATTTGGATTTGGATGAAGATCGCGATCGATATGTTTTGCGTATCTTTTCTGCTTGTTTTGGTGGTGTCTCCAGTCAGGGACTAGAGGAAGGTTAGTGAATGGATGCTGTGAATCAGAAGATTTAAGGTGAAATGCAAGTGAAAATCCTTGGATCTCAGGTTTTGAGTTATGCACCGAGTTGGTTTTGGTCGAGACCCGCGTTGGAAGTTAAGGGTATATATATATTTATACAAGATCTTACATTAAAAGGTTACGAATTTAGGAATCTGTGTAATGGATTATCAGTTGGAAGGTTCAAGGCGAAAAAGGGATGTTTGTAGTACGGATGGTAGAAAAGGCCCTTGTGACTATGCTTTGGAATGGTTCTACCCGTGTGTAGGTCTAGCAAGTTATGGGACTTCAGAATTATAACAGCAACATATCAGTTTGACAGTTAAGGAATCAGTGTCTTGTTCAGCACTAGAATGTTTATCTTTCAGATTGTAACTTGTAACTCATTGTGTTCATGCATTCGTTAACTTCAGGATGAGTCTTTTACTCGAAGGATTATCTAATCTTCAGCCAAGTGAAAGATTTCGACAGCAAGGATCTGTCAGTAATTCTGTTTTCAGTGGAAACAATCACTACTAGAAAAATAGCCTTTTACGACGCGCAATTGATGACACACACTGATAGAGGACGCACATTTTTGCGTGCCTTAAAAATTAATGTCAGTTTTCCAAAATTTCAAGGATAGAGGACACGCATTTTTGCGTGCCCTAAAATTAGTGTCAGAAAAGAAAAAAAAAGAAATACGGAGGGTACCTATCAAAAGATGTGTGTCGTGTAACTGTGTCGCTTTATATTTTTTTTTAAGGAAACACGCGTTTTTAGGGGGAAAAATGAAATCCAAAAAATTAACCCCCGCCTATTCATCCCAAAAATTCCCCGCCTCTTCGAATTAGGGCCTTCGTCTTCATCCACAGCTTCCTCAATTCCTCGATCCATCACCTCCACCAAAAACCTAATTCTCGGTTCCAACAAGTTCTTACACTCTTAATTCGACCCTAATGAGCTAATGATTTAGGGTTCTTACCTCCCAGTTATCAATTTGAGCCGATGATGTAGGGTTCCTAAATCCGACCCTAATTTTTTCTATCTTGCTCTCATATTTCCATCTCATCCCTCTCGCTTGGTTCAAAACACGTAAGGGGCGACGAACACACTATTTCTTTGCATATTTTTGTCTTCACCAAGATCTGGTTTCCATGTAAGCTTTACGTTTCGAGCCCAAACCATCCTCACACGATGTCATCAGCTTCCCTTACTTACGCATCTACACTCGGTGGTTCTTTGTCTAGAAGCACCACTTCTGAACCTCAAATCTTGGCTAGGTTAACTAACCCTCGCATTCCTGCCGCCGGAGGCAGGGTTAACTCTGCTCCATCTGAACATTCTGACCTAGCAGCAGGCATGAGTCTATCAGCAGATGGTCTGACAAATAAAAAAAAATAAGATTGATGACCAGAACACCCATATCAAACATCCATACTTGACCAACAAAGGTTTGTATCAATGTTAATGCCAGGGTACATCTATCTTCTCATCTTTTACATATCAATTTTAAGCCTAATACTTTCAGTTTCTAGATTACATATGCAGAGGAGCTGGAGGCGGCAACCTAGTATCACGCTGTAACGCCAAATTATGAGTCTTAGTGATAAATCAATGATGCGAGATAGTCATGCATACACCAATGGATCTGAGTTTCAAATGATTGGGTAAGGTGTAAATTAGACAAAAAGAATAAGGTGTTCGATTCACCATTCTCCAAATTCTTCTCTTTAACATCTATGTAACTGAGTCACATGCCACTATCTTAGAATCATGAATAAGGTGTTTGACTGAAACTTTGGATGAGATGGTATCAAGTAGGATTCTTGGTCTTGAGCTTGCTATTCAAGTTCTTGTTCGGTTTGATAAGGTCTCTTAACTCTTCAGAGCTTCTTCTTATTATTCTTCTTTTTTAACTATGTGTTAATTCAGTGTGAAGGTAGTATGTGTTTTGATGATTATTTAATCTGTGAGATATCATTATCACTTCATGTTTCATTGGTTGTAGTCAATAGCTGAAGCTCTAGACAATCAGGTTAAGACCAAGGTCTCTATTAAGGTAAATAATTTTCATCTTTTTAATTCTGGTGTGGAGAAAAAATGACCATTATACCCTTTAAATTCCAGTTAACAAATTTCATAATATCATCAATTTGAACATGAGATAAGTTACATAAGGTAAAGAGTTAATGTCTTGATACATTTAGTCTTAGGCTTTGGCTTAAGCATGTAAGAGTTAAATGACAATTATACCCTTGGTGTATGGATGCTGGTGATTTGGTTTATATAATGACAGGGGCATTTGCACACGTACAGATTCTGTGACAATGTGTGGACATTCATTCTTCTAGGTTCTGTATTTTCATACTTCCTTTCTCAAAGTACATCTACTGTTTTTTTCCATATACCATTGATACCTTTTGGATTCATTTGTTTATTGTCTTTATTTTGCATTTTCCTTCAGGTCCTTCTGATCATACAACCTGTGTGGTGATGAAATGAAGATGCTACCTTAACACCAATTTAGAGTTTTTTTGGAGAAAGAAAATGAGAAAGATGCATCTGTGAAGGGAAAATCTCGTTTGGGAACTGTAAGTGTTTTTACTTAAATACCCTTTGATTGTTTTGCTTGAGTTAACATGTTTATTGTGGATGCTATGCTAGATTGTTCATCAAAAAACTGCAGTAGCTTTATGCTTGACTACAGTCAAGAATGAAGATAAGATGGAGTTCAGCAAAATCTTGGAAGCCATCAAGGTATCTGTTTTTTTATAAAATTTATTTATTTAAAGACTTTATGGAAAATTTTATGGTTGATTCTGATATGATGAATGAATTTATGTTGTTTGTTTGAGGCCAATTTCAATGATAAGTATGATGAGTACAGAAAGAAGTGGGGTGGTGGGATAATAGGGTCAAAATTACAGGCTAAAACCACAGCAAAAGAGAGGGTTCTTGCTAAGGAGGCTGCTCAGAGATTGACATAAATAACCTTCATTATCTTGGAAGCTTTGTGTTTAGCACGTCTTAAGTTATATGTTTTCAAAGGTGAGATACATGAGTTTGATTATGTCACAATTTTATTCAGTTTTGGTTGGTTTTGCTGGTATGGAGAGTGGTATTTCTGTGTTTTTCCCCCATTTTTGGTGTTAACTTATAATGGATCCATACCATATGATGCAAATTATTAGGTTGATATTTTTTTTTTCTGTTATACAATTCTACTTATAATGGATCCATACCATAGGTGTAGTATGTAAATTGTTTATTAACAAATAAACAAATCAATATGAAAACCTCTCAAATATAAGTAAAATGTTGGTTGATATTTTTTTCTTTTTTTCTTTTTTTTCAGGGAGTGTGTTAGCTGGAATGAGGCAAAGGGAGTGGGTTGGCCTTTTGTTTTTTTTGTTAATCGTTACTGAAAGGAAAAAAAAATCAAAATTTAATTTTGATTTATTTGATGTCTCATGTCTTGCAGGTTCATGGTGGGAAAGGGGAAAACAAACATAGACAAATTCACTTGGGTGGTAATACAAATTTGATTAAAATCAGTTTTAATTTGATGTGAAATAGGTTGCTTTGGCAAAGCAGAGAGTTGATGAGTACTTATATACTCAGATGATGCAGGAAACTGGTGGTCAGCAGTCCAAGTAAGTTTCTTGATTTGTAACATCTTGTATTCAAGAAATAGCAATGTACTTTCCATAAAATAAATTATAAATTATATTCTTTGAAAAAATTGCTAGATTGGTAGGTTTAAAAGTAGAATTTCCTAATAATAATTAATTTTAAAAGTAGAATGAAAATGACAAGTGATTTTGTGTTGTGTTTACAGGGTTGATGAAAGCGAATAGCTCTGGAGTTAGAAGAGGAAAAGAAAGCTCAAGCTGAAAGAGATAAGATGCTACAAATGCAAGTGTTGCATTCTTCATTTCAATTGTTAGTATGAAACACATAGTAGATTAGATGAATGCAAATTTATATATTGTAAGAAATGGAATTGTATGACATTAAATTTTATGCAATGGATTGTATTTTTTGTATATGATATTTTATTTCTATTACGAGACATTAAATGCAAATTTAATTTAAAAATTAATAAATATATAAATATTTTTTTTAAACATTTAAATTTACGATACGCAAAAATGTGTGTCATCATCGTTTATGACATGACCTTTCTTGACAGGGGTTTTAATGATACGCATTGCCTGTCATAAATGCGTGTCGTCTATAGACGACGCGCAAAAGTGTGTCGTCTCTCGTTATAACAGGGCCTTCCTTGACACGCATTTGTGCGTCGTCTGAGCGTTTTACGAAACGCATTGCGCTTCGTAAAAGGTTGTTTTTCTAGTAGTGAATAAGATAATCAAGGAATGAAAGTGTTATGGTCAGTCAGAATATGATGTGGAATTGTAATGCCAGTGTCTCACCATGGGCTGTCTGTTAGGGAGTCAGACAGGGTTTAGAGTTTTGAATTTCAGGCAGACTGGTAATGGTTATCCTTTAGGGGCAGTGGATGAAGTGTTCTAGTTGTTCGGTGTGGGTGGGAGGTAGTAAGGAGTGATTTCGAGGACGAAATCTAATTTAAGGGGGGAGAGAGTTGTAACATCTGTGTCCACGGATGAATCGAATTAGGGTTTCGGAGGGTCAAAAGATTGGATTTTTGTGAAAAGGGGGTCCTCACGACGTGAGGCATGGATGCTCCCGACGTGAGGAGGGCGGCATGAAGATTGCATCCGGGACTGAGCTCACGACGTGAGCAATAAGAGCTCACGATGTGAGTAGTGCTGCGACCCAAGTTCATGAAGTCTTAGGGTTTCCCACATATTTAAGCCTCCTTATATTGGTTTTAGGGTTCATTTCTCAGCCTCCACCTTCCCCTAACTCAGAAAAACCCTAACCCTAATCCATCTTGGTGATTTTGAATCCATTTTAGTGTTTTGGTGGCTACAAGAAGAAGAAGAAGAAGAAGAGGTTCTAGAGTGTTGGTTCAACAAGGAGGCTTCATCATCATCATCATCATCTTGTGCACATCTTGGACCATTGTAAGTATCCAAGATCCAATCTTTATGAGATCAAATTGCTAGATCTAAGTTCTAAGCTCCTTTTTGCATATTTATGTTTGGATTTCGTGCTTGAGATCCATAAAGTTGGCAGCTTTTATGGATCAGTGAGTCATTCTATATGATATAGTCTTATGGATCTGAAGTGTGGTTGTAATTTCTGAATCTTGGTTGAGTTTGGGGCCATTTCTTGTCATTTTGACCTAAGATAGGTTTAGGACATGCTTGGGGTATGCATGTCCATCAAGTAATCGTTTTTATTGGCCTTTGGAGTCCTTGTTAGCTTCTGGAAGAAGTAAGATTAAATGCTTAATGGATTAAAGACATAAAAGTTGGGTTTTTAGTCTTTGACTGTTCTCACGACGTGAGAAGCATTTGGTCCCGTTTCTGGACATCTGCTTGGGGCTCACGACGTGAGAAAGGACTCTCATGACGTGAGGGTAGCTCCGTTGACTTTTCCTTGGCTGAGTTAACTATGTTGAATCGTGATGAGTTGGGATCTGATTGAGTGATCTCTCACTACGTAACCAAGGCCGATCACGTCGTGAGGTGTATTTTTTGGGCCTTTGGGCCTTGTTGGTCCCCTAGTTTTCTGTATGTGGGCCTTTTTGGTGATTGGGCCCATTTGGAGCTTTGGGTATCTTTTAGGAAGTTGGGCCATAGTGGGCTTTTGATGCTACTGGTCGGCCTCATATTTTTGTGCCAAGTGAGGAAAGGGTAAAATGGACTTTTACCCTGAGTTTTTGAGCAATCGGACTTGAATCCTAGCAATGGGTTGTGGACCAATTATTAATTTGGTATTATTTATTAGTACTAGCGCGCGGGGATTTTCCGAATCGGTAGTCCGAGCTTTTATCTAAGATATTCGGCAGTGTGAGGTAACTTTTCCTCACTGTACTTACGGATCGAAGGCACAAGGCCGGCCCATTGGATTGATATCCTTCTATACACAGATATGCTGAGTATGGAATAGATCTGCATGATTATATACTTTTTGCCGATATGCTTAGTCTGGTAGATCTGTAGGCTACCTGTAATTCTGTCTGCATGACATATTGTATATGCTTGTTATCTGTTATATGAGGCATATTATGGTGAGTTGAGGTTGTACTAATTTATGTTGTGGCCAACAAACCCGGGAGCATTCCAGATACGAGATGAGAGCCGGTTGGCATGCCAGACTCGTGCTGAGGGCTTGTGGCATACTGTGTTGGGTTGAGGTTGTACTGCTTTGTGCTGTAGCCAACAAACCCTCGAGCATTCCAGTTATGAGCTGAGGGTCGGGTGGGGCATGCCAGACTCATACTGAGGGCTTAGGTGCATTCTAGATATGAGCTGAGGACCGGGTGGTGTTCCAGACTCGTACTGAGGGCTTGAAGGTATTTCAATCTGATGATTGATTAGCTTAAGGAGCAAGCCAAACATAATTTATGGGACCTGAGGGCAAGCCAGACTTATGTCGTGGGCTCAGGAACAAGCCATATATGATTTGTAGGCCCGGTTGGCAAGCCAGACTCATACTGTGGGCTCATGGGTAAGCTAGTCTTCTAGCTGTAGACCTAGTACATGCTGTTATTTGTTCATGTTATTTATTTGTGTGCTAGTATTTTGGGGGAACTCACTAAGATTCATGCTTACAGTGTTAGCTTATGGTTTCAGGTACTTTAGAGGATCGTGGCAAGGCGAAGGCGTGATCATACACATCCTTGGTTTTACGACTGATTGGATCTTGGAAGACTCTGATTTTAAACAATGTTTTGGAAACAATGATTTGTAAACACTTTTATTAGTAAATGGGTTGTTTTGAAAAGTTTAAATTTGTTCCAATTTGTGGGATGTTACAATATATATAGTAACATCCGTACTCCAGGTTTGGGTCTTATGTATTTTAAGTTGCGAATATATTAATTTTCTCTCACCACAGCACGGTAAGTACTGGACCACGATGCATGGCACATCACTAAGTGGTGACGCGGCCAGGTTTTTACTACGACTTGGCGACGACTAAGGTTCAAAACCTTAGGTCTCAAGTTTTTAGATTTATTTAAAGGCTTTACCTTATAGGGTTGCCTTATTTGGAAGCCCCTATTCGTAGAGAAACTGTCCCTACCAAAACCTAGCCTCCATTTGTGTCTATTGAGTATTTAAGCTCCATTTTGTGAAGGTTGAAGGAAGGAGACCCTCTTCTCTCTTGTGTGCTTTTTTTCCAGTGTAGATCCATCATCTTCACCTTATTTATGGTCATTTGAAGGTATAAAGTTTCTGATTTGACCATTATTTCATTAGATCTAGTTTGTGTCAATTTTATGGGTTTTTGATCCCAAAATCTTTATGTTCTTGGAGTTTGAATGGAATCCAAAACATTTTGGTGCATTTTATAATTTTTGGACCTTTTTTTTATTAAAGAAGATGTGATTGCATGAACTAGCATTGAGTTCATGCATTTAGATTTACCATTTTTAATTTAGGGTTTTAGATCTTGGTTTTTTGGGGTGTCCTAATGGATAAAGTTGGAAACTTTATCCATTATGACCATCAGAAGTATCAGATACGAGCTTTTGAGTTATGGAGGCTAAAGGTTAAGTGCTTAATCCATGAAGTTGTTTTAGACTCTCACCACGACACGATGAGGGCTAGGTCGCGGCATGGTGATGAGCTTCGGCTGTGTCTGTTTTGTAGTTGAGTTGTCACGACACAGTCATGAGTTAGCCACGACGCGGTGGCTAGACCGTTGACTTTTGACAAGTTTGACTTTTAGTTAAACTTAGGATTTAATTAGTTATCTGAGGTTGACCTTTGGCAGGTTAAGAGGCTATGTAGTTGTGTTGGTGAGTCGGTGGGTGTAGATGTAACACCCTGTTCCGAATAGTTTCATAATGCGGGGTGGTGACCCGAAGATCGGGTATCATCAGGCTTAA